GCAGGCGCGGCATACGGGCGTGAGACAGCAGCGCGCGTGCGCAGTCCCAGCACTGGCGTCAGCCCGTATCACGAGGAGTAGGCGCAGCTGCAACGACGCGCTGAGACGCCGAAGCCTCGGCCCCCCACAAGGGAGCGCTGTTGGTTTCATTGCGCATGTGCGAACGATGGTTAAGCAGGGAAGGCTCTGTCTCGTGAAGCAAAAGAAGGCGGGCGCAGGAGGCGCTGGGGCAGCAGATCCCAAGACCGTATAGAGCTTAATTGAATCATTCCCGCCCATTATTCCCCGCCTTGTTCCATGCAGATCAGTGTTTCCCAAACTTGGGGCGCTGGCTGATTTTGGACTACAATTCCCATCATCCCTGACCACCGGTCTTGCTAGCTAGGCATGATGGGAGTTGTAGTCCAAAAACAGCTGGCGACCCGAGTTTGGGGAACGCGGATACATATCTTCACTCACCCCTTCTGCCTTGGCGTGGGCGGGGGGAACCATATTGTGGTTCGCCTCAGCTGCCCAAACTGTCTTGTATCTGAATACAGATTGACACCAATTTGCTCCAGTTCCATTAATTCAGTTTAATCACACACACATGCACACCAGTGGTTCATATGAATTTAATTCCACAGTGGTGAGCATTCTGTTGCATGAGCTGTAAAAGACCCAGCTGAATCCAGAATTAATTCTACAATGAGAGCAGACTCTTCAAATTCAGTGGGTCTCCTCTAAGCATGGCTATGTCCAAATCCAGCCTATTCCCTTTTAATGGGCTGCTTACCCTTCCTGGTTCTGGGATAAATCCTAAATCCACATATTCCCTGTTGAATCCCGCTGACCTTTGCCTCCAAAGTGAAGGTGCATAACACTACAATCCCATGACTACTCAGAAGCAACCCACTGAGCTCCATGGGCTTTACTCCCATGAGTGCGGAGAGTATTGCAACCTAAGAGTAAGGCAAATAAATGACTTGTAGTGTGGCAATGAGGTGGCAGAGCTGGGCCTGCACCACTCCACTTCACAATAAGCACTCTATGATTCTTTGGAAGGTGATAAGCCAAGGTTGGATGGCCATCTATCACGTATGAGATTCCTACATCGCAGGGGGTTGGAATAGCTTGGGATCCCTTCTATCCCTATAATTCTATGACTGTATTCTACTCTATGAGTCTATGTTTACTTAGAAATAAGACCCACTAAGTTCACTGGATTTCTGCACTTAAACCCTTAGGCCTCTTATGCATAGAGACAGGAAAAGATATAAGATTCAATTGTCTGGGATGGAATTTCCTGGTTCTTTTTTCTGCTGTTTCTTCCTCACCATCTACCTTGGTGGGGCAGAAGTGAGAACAATGGAAAACAATGTCGCAGTTCATGGCTTTAGGCTGCCTGACATTGACCAGTCCATCCAGAAATAAAAGATAGCAGCAAAAAAGGGAACCTAAGCTCTTCCTAATTTACATCTTACTTCATTGGAAGAAAGGTTTGAGGATGGTTGGTTCTTTGCTTTTTGAGGTTGTTCAGCTTCTATAAATTGCCCTGTTGCCAAAGCCATACTATTATTCCCATACTGTATATTGCAAGTGTTAACAGCTCAAACTTCAAATGGCAGGTTGGAGACAAGGCCAAGTTTGGCTTGGATTACAAAATTCCTTGGAGGCTTCAATAATCTCTCAACTAAATGTCATTTGGAAATTTCCTGAAGCAAGCTCCTTAACCTTAATTTGGTTTCTTGGAGTCAGTCTGGTTAATAGCTCACCAGATCAGGATGTTATACTTACCGTATACAAGCCCCTCCAAATACTGTACTAAGATTCCCAATTCCAGAATTCTATATTGTGGTTAAACTGTCCTCAAAGCAAATAAGCATTCAGTTGTGTATTAAAATAAAAAGGGAAACGACACATTTCAAATAGCGGTATACCTTTAAAAATGTTACATCTTCTACCTGGTCAATCTTTTGACAAAAGTTGATGTTTTGAAAAAATGGGCTCTTCAATAAAGCAATTAGTTACAAAGCTCTCAAAACCAGGAGCTACACTGAAGAACTGTAGTCTACAGACTGTAAGCTCTAAAATAAAAACAGAAAATTCTCAAACTCTTGTGAAGGTGTAGCTACAGATGCTGTTCCTTATTAGTTGTTCTTTTCAGTCTACAACTGCAGGTTCTCGGGAGTTGTGTCAATGAATTATCAGACTCCTTTTCAGATTATTTGGAAGAAATCTTTCAATGTTTGTTTCACTTCATATATATAGTAGGTTCATTTTAATTGTTCAAAAATCTTAGACAAACTTTGTTTTGTTTTCAAATTCAGACATTTACAGTATTAAACCACTCCTTAGAACTTTTAAGGTTCAAAGCACAAACTACTGATTTTGACAAATATCTGTGAGAGAAGCTATTGTTGTTTTTAACGTAACTGTAATAAGAACAGCTTGCAGAGAGGAGGCCGGTAATAATTTAATATAAAGATAGCAGTTTCACATTTTGTGTTTTTCATTCCCCCGTCCCCCTGCAAGGCACCTGTTTTGGAAAGTTGAACTTAGCAGTTTTGGGGAGAGGAGTGCAAGTAGCTAGCCATGCCTAGGGCACAAAATAGCCTGGCACCAGCACAAGGCCAACAAACACAAAAATGATAAACATCAATGGGGTACACGCCAGCTGGGTAACCCTAGCTTCTACTGAGAGGTCCTCACCCAAGCCGAGAAGGGTGCCACAGGGTTCTGTCTTGGGCCCGGTCTTATTCAACATCTTTATCAACGACTTGGATGATGGACTCAAGGGCATCCTGATCAAATTTGCAGATGACACCAAACTGGGAGGGGTGGCTAACACCCCAGAGGACAGGATCACACTTCAAAACGACCTTGACAGATTAGAGATTAGAGAACAAACAAGATGAACTTTAACAGGGAGAAATGTAAAGTATTGCACTTGGGCAAAAAAAAATGAGAGGCACAAATACAAGATGGGGGACACCTGGCTTGAGAGCAGGATCTAGGAGTCTTGGTTGACCACAAACTTGACATGAGCCAACACTGTGACGTGGCAGCTAAAAAAGCCAATGCAATTCTGGGCTGCATCAATAGGAGTACAGCATCTAGATCAAGGGAAGTAATAGTGCCACTGTATTCTGCTCTGGTCAGACCTCACCCGGAGTACTGTGTCCAGTTCTGGGCACCACAGTTCAAGAAGGACACTGACAAACTGGAACGTGTCCAGAGGAGGGCAACCAAAATGGTCAAAGGCCTGGAAACGATGCCTTATGAGGAACGGCTAAGGGAGCTGGGCATGTTTAGCCTGGAGAAGAGGAGCTTAAGGGGTGATATGATAGCCATGTTCAAATATATAAAAGGATGTCATATAGAGGAGGGAGAAAGGTTGTTTTCTGCTGCTCCAGAGAAGCGGACACGGAGCAATGGATCCAAACTACAAGAAAGAAGATTCCACCTAAACATTAGGAAGAACTTCCTGACAGTAAGAGCTGTTTGACAGTGGAATTTGCTGCCAAGGAGTGTGGTGGAGTCTCCTACTTTGGAGGTCTTTAAGCAGAGGCTTGACAACCATATGTCAGGAGTGCTCTGATGGTGTTTCCTGCTTGGCAGGGGGTTGGACTCGATGGCCCTTGTGGTCTATTCTAACTCTATGATTCTATGATTCTATGATTCCTGCGCTCTTCTGTGCAATGCTAAGTGGGAAAAACTGTGAAGCCAGCCAATGCCTCTACATAGCTCCATCCTTATTTCAGATATTGCCATATATCAATATATTCCAATATTTAGCAGTTTGTTACTCCCTGTTGCAGGGAGTAACATGTATGATGGTATGTTTGGGGCTTTCCTCCATCTCCCCTTCGCAGGATTCCTCTGGAATGCCAAAATCTCCTGCATGGCTTTTTAAAAAATTACCCAAATACTCTAATGCAAGGAGTTGCAGTGACAATGCAGTGAGATTCTACTCAGAGTAAGCCTATTGGAATGAATGGGTTTGAATAAGTTGTGTCCTTTAGTTTTAGCTTTTTATCTGGATAATACCTAATTAGGGATAGGGATTGGTTTGCTTTCTTTCTGTTCTGGTTTTTATTAAGTATTTTGTTGTGTTATTGTTGTTGTTGAAATTCCACAAATTGCACATCAGGATTCATTACATAGTAAGTCCCCCCCCCCTTTTCTATTATCAGCTTTCCATCCCATTTCCTAAGATATTTTTTTTCTTTTCCAACCTTAGCTGCAACTTATCTTCCCTCTTTTATATTAGAACTCTAATGCTCTATTAGAATTAAAAGAGGGGGAAACCCAGCCGGATGGGCGGGGCCTAACTAAATTATTATTATTGTTGTTTTATTTTTGTGTGTGTGTTTTTATCTTGTATAAAAGATTAAAACACACAAAAAAAATAGAGTTGAAGCAAGAAGGCATCTTCAAATATTAAATAAATGCAAGCAGTGAATTGCCAGGACTTGGAAGCCCCCTCCTAGTGATGAATTCACTCTTTCCACCCACCCACCCACCCACCCTTTCAAAAATGTGCATGGAATGAATGAGCTGGCATTCAATTCTATTCTTTTAAAAGCATATTTTCTTTTATTATTGGGTCCATTCTGACAAATATTGGGTCCATTCTCTCACTTCTGACCCTTCTTGATCCCCTCATTCCTGGGGGTTAGACTAGATGACCCATGGGGTCCCTTCCAACTCTTCCTTTCTACAATTCTCTCGCCTACAATTCCGACACCCGCTTCAGGTGAACCTGCACAAACAACGCTGACACCAAACCCTACGTATAGTAAGGTAAAATAGAAAAATCGCCACCCGACCCCACCCCCACCCATCTTTCCCCCCCCCTCCACCTCTTTCCCCTTTTCTTCCTAATGTCTCAACAAATGAAAATGATTTGTAAAAATGTTACATGGGGGAAAATACATGAAAGAGAGACATTGCACACTTTTGTAAATCAACAAAATCTTTAATAAATAAATAAATACTATTCATAAAAAAGAGGCCTCCTCACCTGAAGGACATCAAAGCCCATCTGAAGTCCCAAAACAAAACTATCAGATCCTGATCCACACAGATCCATGCGTGTATGGAGCGATCTGTGTGGATCTGCATCTGATAGTTTATGACTCCCTGTTGTAGGGAATCACATATATAATTGTATGTTTGGGGACATCAGGTGGGCTTTGATGTCCTTCAGGTGAGCTTTGGGGTGTATGGCTTTCCTCCATCTCCTCTTCGCAGGATTCCTCTGGAATGACAAAATCTTCCGCATGGCTTTCCTCCATCTCATCTGTGGATTTCTCTTCAATTACGAGATCCAGCAGAGAACCACACTTTCCACAAGTAGTTAGACTCTCGCTTTTTGCTGCGCTTCTTGGGGTAATCACCCTTACGGTCGCTATTTGACATTTATCTGTTGCGGTGGTCTTGACGCAAAATCTCTCAATCCCAACCAATGCTGCACTCAGCAGCTGGAAACCTGCAGCGATATAGCCTAGATAAATAGAAGGTCCAATATGCTGCTCGCTGGGAATTTGAGGCAATTCAAAAGTTTCAGGGAAGTCAATTTCCCCATTATGTAAGACGGCAGACATGTTCCATACCACGGAAATCAGGACGAGTATCCCTGCAACTAAGTTCAGGAAAGCTGCAAGCCTAAAAAAGGTTAACACAAAATTCTTATGTTTTCTGGGCTCGGACACATTGTACAAGGCAAATGAAATCAATCCCAGGGCCGTTGAATTCATAATGGAAGCTAATGCCATTAAGTCCTGTGCAATAAAAATTTCCCTTGGGAGGCTTGGATGTTGCTCATTGAGATCTTCGCAATGCCAAAAAGAGTTGCCGTCGTTAGAAGGGTCTTTCCAAAAGCAGACCTGCCAGATTCCGATCCAGATGTTTCCAGAGCCAATTCCCTTTATGTTTTCTACACGCCACACTCGCCAGTTGACAACGGCTGTTGAGGCAATGCACATAATCCAGGCCACAATATCTATCAGGAATGCACACAACTGGAGCCCGGACACTAATCTCAGCCACCTGACCACCAGGGAGCCTTCTTTCACCTGCATGGGGGGTTTGGAGAGGAGGGGACCAGGGGAGACCTTGGCAGACATCCTGGAAACAAAAGAGAAGACAAGATGCAGTGAGAGAGGGAATAACAAGCATGTCTAGTCATTGAAGGACATCCTCCCTCCTGCATTCTTCCTTCTATGCACAGAAAGAAGCAGCAAAAGAAAAAGTTCCTGCTCTCTCCCACCCCCTGGTTAGGTAGAGACATCTGATCCACACATACTTTCTTCCAGCAAACTGCCACTGATTTAATATACTCTTGCACTGTTCCTGTGAAAATGGCCAGAACCTCAGCAACCTGTTGTGGATGGGAGCTGCTCATGATTCGCTGTTCTGCTATCTGGTGCTGAAGCTATCCTTTTCCACCGAGCATAAACACAGCTGATGGCATAGTGAGGAATGTTTAATCCACAAACTTACGTGAAATGCCTTCCTCAGCTAGAGTCTAGCGTGCCAGGAACAGAGCAGGTATTTGCTAGGTGTTCCTGAGCCTCAAGAAGACTGAGCTGTTGGCCACTGAGCTGACGTTCGCCTGAGCAGCCAGCCAGCCACAGCAGCAACTGCCCTGCAGAATTCTTAGGTCAGTTACAGTTACAGTTAGAATCCTGACAACAACACAAATCATAACTCCAAGGTACTGGTCATTTGGAACATCAGGATGTAGCCTTATGAGGCTTTGCCCTTGGGTGGGAAAAATATTGCGCCTGGGAAAGGGAAGTGGGAGTCAACAGACACTCAAGGAATAGTTTCGGAGAAAAAGGTTTATTTCTACCATCCATGAACTGGTAGAAGGAGCAAGTGTGATAGTCCACAAAAGCATGCACGAGTTCACAATCATGTGCACAAGCATATATACCCCTTCCAGATCCCTCCCCCTTCTTCCAGAGTCCTGCCCCTGTTGAGGTTCCTCTGAGCATGAACAGAAAGCTGTCTTGGAACTATTGTGGACTCTTGGCAGGAAAGGGGGTGAGGGGGTTTTCAGAGTGTTCCCGTTGTTTCATTCTTGTGCTTGGCATGGTTCCCGGAGAGAAAGCAAGTTGCAATGTGGTTCTGAGAAAGGCCTGAGAAGACAATGGGCTCTGTTCTCTACCTTGTTGCAATCTTTTTAGTTACAGCAAGCGGAATGTTTCTGACGCTTAGCTACTGAGAAAATGATTTTGAAAAGCTTTGAGAAGCTTTGAGCCTGTTTGGGGGGTGACTTCGGGCCTAGGTGAGGTCACCTGTCCTCACCTTCCTTCAAGGAAAGTGGAAAATGGGAGGGAACTCAGTTCCCTTCTTTCCCAATACAGAGTGTCTTTTCCAGGACACTGCGCAGTTGAAACACGTTCTTCCTGAAGTCAGATTCAGAGCAGTTCCAGCAGTAAAAATGGTGATGTGTGTATCTCAGTACAGATTTGTTTGATGGGTCTGAATGCATTTCATAAAGGATCTCCATGTACAAGAAAGGCCAATAGCATGAGCCATAAGAATTTCCTTGGCAAAATTATTGAAGACTCCTTACAAACCTATCCTTCTTCTTCCCCATTCCATCTTGTTTGGACATTATAGTAAGGGAGAAGATCTTAGCTCTTTTCCTTTGCACTGGGACCACATGGAATTTGTGCCATGGGACCCCATCACTCAAACCAATACAGGCAATACCATTTTCAGAACCTAGGTGTCCATGATTTAAAAGACACTTCCGTCAAAATATTTGTGTTGCTTTCTTCCTGTTCCTTTCTGTGTTGATGCTCCGAATGTGAGCTGCTCAGCTGCATGCAGTGTCCACTGAAGTGTGTGTGTGTGGTGTGATTAACATTTGGCCAAGCAATGGGCCTAAATCCATCTATTTCACCTGAAATAACTTTGGGAGCCAGCCTTTAAAAATCTAAAGGAGATATCAAATTCAGAGGAATTAAAAGCTGTCATCTTTTTGACTATTTTAAACATCTTAGAACATACACAAATGTTAATGTTTGAAGGAAGGCAGCAAATGGAGCATTGGAGCCATCCATTCATTTCAGGAGTTGTGACCATTGATAAGATGAAGCACTTTCACATCACATGGCAGTGTGCAGTGCTTTTAAAAAGGTAAATGTAAAGGACCCCTGACAGTTCAGTCCAGTCACGGCTCTGGGGTTGCGCCACTCATTGGCTTTACTGGCCGAGGGAGCTGACATTGGTCTGCAGACAGTTTTTCCGGGTCATGTGGCCAGCAAGACTAAGCCACTTCTGGAAAAACCAGAGCAGCGCACAGAAACGCCGTTTACCGTCCCTCCAGAGCGGTACCTATTTATCTACTTGCACTTTGATGTGGTTTGGAACTGCTAGGTTGGCAGGAGCTGGGACCGAGCAATGGGAGCTCACCCCGTCAAAGACGCAAGTCCAGTTCTGTATCTGCATGACATCCTCCACACCCAAATGCTCTCCCGTTCTGTTTCCCCCACTTAATCCGGATACACCATCTCCATTGAAAACTCTGCTCAGTGAGACCCATCCAATAGAAAAGTGCTGACCGTCTTCATGCAGATACACTTCCATGCAGGGGTTTGGCCGACAACTTCTTCCCGAGTGTGGGGATGTTTTCAGGGGCTCTTTGCTTTTCCCTGCCTCCCCTTTCATCCTCACCTGAGGAGATCTTGGCCATTCTCTTGACAGGGACCTCCGTTCTCAGGCCGGATTTCTGTTTTCCTTCATTCCTCCTTCTCCCCGCCTGGTTCACTGAGCAAATAAGAGAGAGGAAGGTTTCATGCAAGTCAAGGTGTGCAATGGATCTTCAGGGCATTTGGGAGGAAGAAAAGGTTCAGGAACAAGCGACGCAACAGCCCCCCCCCCAAGCGTAAAAACACATTTGGACACATCGCTCATGAGATTCGCCCCACCCCCTTAGGATATAAATGCAGAACATCCTACGCTCCTATTAATATAAAAATTGGGGTATTTCATATGATAAGAACAGAGGAAGCTGCCTTAGACGGAGCCAGGCCAATTTTGGGAAAGTGCTACATGGGCCAGTTCCCCATTTGGCTACCAGTGAGAACATAGCAAAACACAAAATGGCTGCCATATGGTGTGGTATGAAATAAATCTGCCTGGCTGTGGGGCGTGAAGGCCGCACCCTGCAAGACCCTTTCCACGTGGCCTAGGCCCAGACTTCGCTAGCCCCACAAAAGAGGCTCCTCATGAGGCCAGAGGAACATGGCCTGGCCTGTGGGGTATGATTCGAAACCTTCCAGTCCCAGTCCAGTGCTCTAACCACTAAACCACACTGCCCCCCATTGCAGTCTATAACAGCCTGGAGGGCCACAGATTGCCCCATATTCTCTGGCTCTGAGATTGCCCAAAGTTTCCTTTCTCTCCCTTGTTGTGCAAAAGAAAAATGCCCATTGAAAAAATGTGACATTTTTGTTCTTTGGAGACAGTTCTGCTCTCTCTCCTCTCTCTCTCTCTCTCTCTCTCTCTCTCTCTCTCCATTTAAAGGAGCCTCATCCCTTTTCCCACCCAACTTCCTCCTGCACACAGCTTCAAGATTTCATGAAGAACTAACTAACTAACCAACCCATGATTGGAATGTTACGAGATTAGGAGATAATTTATTTTTATATAAGGAAAATAGATGGAGGATAAATTAATTGTGCAAAGGCAAGAATATATTAGGCTGGCAAATATCAAAAGAAACAAAGATTATGATTGGGTTCTTAAAAATAACACACAACACATGCCCTGCAGTGGATTTCAGAACAAATATGCCTCCGAGAACTACCATTCAGAGTTCCCTGGGAAGTTGTGGGCATCTGTTTTGAGAGGCAATGGAGTGCACCTCTGGGGGGGTGAAATCAAAGGTTTTCAGCAGGCGCTAGAAGGAAAAACGAAGGAGACGCCTGCGAGAAGCCAAGTTACGGGGAACCAGGCAGAGGCCTTCTCGGTGGTGGCGCCTTCTTCATGGTGATCCACTACTGCTTTAAGGGAGGTCTTGGAATAAGTAGATTTGTTGCTGATCCAAAACACCAACCCACCCCACTCACACATGAAAACAAAGACCACCACAGCCGACTACAAATGAATAACCACACCCTAGGCCAACCACAACCTCTCTCACCACCAAAGGAACACAAGCGAACAGCAAAGAACCTGCACAAACAACGCTGACACTAAACCCTACATATAGGAAGTAAAATAGAAAAATCGCCACCCAACCCCCCCATCTCCCCCCCCACCTCTTTCCCCTTTTCTTCCTAATGTCTCAACAAATGAAAATGATTTGTAAAAAATTTACTTGGGGGGGGGAACATGAGAGAGAGACATTGCACACTTTTGTAAATCAACAAAATCTTTAATAAATAAATACTAGTTTTTGGGAGAGGGGTGCAAGTAGCTAGCCATGCCTAGGGCACAAAATAGCCTGGCACCAGCACAAGGCCAACAAACACAAAAAGGAAAAACATCAATGGGGTACACGCCAGCTGGGTAACCCTAGCTTCCACTGAGAGCTCCTCACCCAAGCCGAGAAGGGCTCCTGTGCTCTTCTGTGCAATGCTAAGTGCAAGATGTTGGTCTTTGTGACCTTGAGGCACATGCCAGAGGCACTGACGACAGAGAAGTAGCTGGTGAGTAGTTGCTTGACCGAGGGGGAGAGGACAGCAGAACAGGGGGCTCCTTCAGCTCCTCCCAAACACACTCCCACCATCCAATTATACATTCACGTTCCAGAGATTGCACAATGTGGGAAAAACTGTGAAGCCAGCCAATGCCTCTACATAGCTCCATCCTTATTTCAGATATTGCCATATATAAATATATTCCAATATTTAGCAGTTTGCTACTCCCTGTTGCAGGGAGTAACCTGTATGATGGTGTGTTTGGGGTTTTCCTCCATCTCCACTTCGCAGGATTCCTCTGGAATGATAAAATCTTCCGCATGGCTTTCCTCCATCTCAATTGCGGAGGATTTCTCTTCAATTACCAGATCCAGCAGAGAACCACGCTTTGAACAAGTAGTTAGACTCTCGCTTTTTACCACGCTTCTTGGTGGGAAGGAAGAAAAGGTTCAGGAACAAGCGACGCAGCAGCCC